GGTGGGTGGTGGGGGCCGGTAGGTGCAGCGGCGGGGCCAGCAGGTGCAGTTGCGGGGCTGATAGAAGGGGACGGCAGCCTGGGCGGTCGTGGGCGGCTCACGCTGGGCGGGTGCACGGGCGGCTCGGCGGGCGGCGTACAGGCAGCTCACGGGCGGCTGCGACGGGCGGCTCGCGGGCGTCGGGCGCTAGGGCGCTGGGGCGACGACGGGCGGCGCTCAGGCGTCAGAGCGGGCGGCCGTCAGGGCGCTAGGGCGGGCTGCGCTCAGGCGTCAGGGCGGGCGGCCGTAAGGGCGCAAGGGCGGGCGGCACTCGGGCGCTAGGGCGAGCGGCGCACGGGCGCTAGGGCGGGCGGCCGTCAGGGCGCTAGGGCGGGCGGCGCTCGGGCGCTAGGGCGGGCGGCGCTCGGGCGCTAGGGCGGGCGGCCGTCAGGGCGCTAGGGCGGGCGGCGCTCGGGCGCTAGGGCGGGCGGCGCTCGGGCGCTAGGGCGGGCGGCCGTCAGGGCGCTAGGGCGGGCGGCCGTCAGGGCGCTAGGGCGGGCGGCGTTCGGGCGCTAGAGCGGGCGGCCGTCAGGGCACTAGGGCGGGCGGCCGTCAGGGCGCAAGGGCGGCGGCGCTCGGGCGCTAGGGCGGGCGGCCTTCAGAGCACTAGGGCAGATCGAAAAAAAGAGGTACTAGGGCCCGGAGCGCGCTCCGGGCAGGAAAAAAAAGGTTAAGAGGTAGCGGTGGTGGGCCCTACGAACAGTTCCCACAGGGGAACCTGCTCGATACCATGAGAGAATAAGCGAACAGGAATGAATGAACTAGCAGTGAAATGAGTACAAGTAGGAAACCCTAGAATTGTGTACCCCCTATAGGCTAACCCACTGTAGCCTACACAAGCAGAACATATATAATGTTTGACAGTGGAGAGTTTTCCTCTGACCTTCTGAGAGCCTACTGTCGCGCACGTGGCATCTGTCAGACCTTCACGCTTCCGGACTCCCCGCAGCAAAATGGGATTGCTGAGCGCCGCATTGGCATGGTCATGGACGTCGCTCGTACGTCTATGATGCATGCGGCTGCCCCCCATTTTCTGTGGCCGTTTGCGGTGAGGTACGCGGCGCATCAGATCAACCTCCACCCCAGGGTCTCCAGGCCGGAGACCTCCCCAGCCTTGCTGTGGACGGGGAAGGTTGGCGATGCGTCGGCGTTCCGGGTCTGGGGATTTCGGGCGTTTGTCCGCGTCTTGTCTGCGGACAAGCTGTCCCCTCGTGCTGCTCCTTGCGTCTTCGTGGGGTTTCCCCCTGACGCGCCTGGGTGGCAGTTCTACCACCCCACCTCTCAACATGTTCTGTCCTCCCAGGACGTCACCTTTGACGAGTCGATCCCCTACTACCGCCTCTTCCCCTACCGCACTCCGTCCCTCCCCCCACCCCCGCTCTTCCTTGTACTAGGTCCCCCCAAGGTAGACTCCCTCCCCCCTCAGGGTCCCGCCCCTTCAGGTGTGTCCCAGGTAGACGCTGTCGAGCCTGTCAAGGTCACTAATGACTGTGGTGCTGGTGAGGGTGCTGAGCCTGGGGGTACTGAGTCTGGGGGTGTTGGACCTGGGGGTGCGGAGCCTAGGGGTGCTGAGCTTGGGGGTGCTGAGCCTGGGGGTGCTACGTCTGGGGGTGCTGAGCCGGAGGGTGCTACGCCTGGGGGTGCTGAGCCTGGAGGTGCTACATCTGGGGGTGCTGAGCCGTGAGGTGCTACGCCTGGGGGTGCTGAGCCTAGGCGTGTTACACCTGGGGGTGCTGAGCCTGGAGGTGCTCCGCCTGGAGGTGCTCCAACTGGAGGTTCTCCGGGTGCTTCGTCTGGCCGGGAGCCGCTCTCTCTATAGGAGCTGTGCGAGTGGTTTGCCCGGCACTAGCGCCGTACTACTGGTGCTGGAGGTTCTTCAGCTACTGAGGGTTCTACGGTCGCGGGTCCCGGGGGTGCTCGTACACGGAGTACTGGAGCTGCTGGGCCTGCGGGTTCGAATGGAGCTAGTCCTACTGAGGATGTTGGCGCTACGACTCCCGCTGGCCGTCCTGCTGGGGGTGCTCCTGGTGCTGTTGGAGGTTCTGGAGCTGCTGGAGGTGCTGCTGGAGCGAGTGCTCCTGCTGAGGGTGCTGGTGCTGTCGCTGCTGCTTCTGGCGTCGCCACGCGGCTGCGCCCGTACTTTGTTCCGCTCCTCCAGCAGGTTCTTGGTCTTCCACCTTCTACTGGTCCTCCTCCTCCCTTAGAGTGTCCACAGCCTGTCCTGTCACAGTTACAGTTGCAGCATACCTCCCCTTTGCCTGCTCCTTCTCCCTACGCTGGTCCTACTAGAGGTCTTACTGAGCGTCGTGAGCCTGCTTCCCGCCCTGCGTCGCCTATCGGTGCTGCTCTCACTAGTGGTCGTGGTTCGCGTCAGCGTCCTCCTCCTGTCCCTGTCACGCACCGGATGTCTTTGCGTCCCTCCACTGCTCCTCTGCGTGCCCCTTTGCCTTCTCCTCCTGAGTCCTCTCTTCCTACTCTTACCGACCCGGAGTCGGACTCTCTTCCCGCCACCTGTCCTACTGTCACGCGTCTCCTTGCTACTGTCGTCACTGACCCTTCTTTTGAGTCCACTGCTGCGTCTGCCCTAGCTGCTGCGCTCGTCGACTTTGCTGCTCGCTGTCGCCTAGACTACGTGGCTTGTCTTGTCGCTGAGTCTGAGTCTGTCTGTCCTCCGTCCGTCGGGGGTGAGTGTGCTCTTGGCACGGACGTCCTTGAGGACAGGCAGGAGGAGTTCTAGTGTCTGGCAGCTGCTTCAGCTCATCTCGTGTCCGTACTGCTTACCCCTGAGGGAGACCCGGATGCACTTGACATCCCGACTCCGCGCTCTTACGCGGAGGCGATAGAGGGTCCCTACTCCTCTCAGTGGCAGGCAGCTATGGATGCAGAGATGGCTTCCTAGAAGTCCACAGGCACCTAGGTTGACGCTGTCCCCCCCCAGGGCGAACATCGTCAGTGGCATGTGGATCTTCAGGGTGAAGCGGCCGCCGGGTTCTCCGCCTGTCTTCAAGGCGCGTTACGTGGCTCGTGGCTTCAGTCAGCGGCAGGGAGTTGACTACTTTCAGACCTTCTCCCCCACCCTGAAGATGACCACTCTTCAAGTTCTGCTGCACGTTGCTGCTCACCGTGACTACGAGCTGCACTCTCTTGACTTTAGCACAGCTTTTTTCCAGGGCAGCCTGCACGAGGAGATCTGGCTGCGCCTCCCACCAGGCTTCACTGGGTCTTTCCCTCCTAGTACCTAGTGGAGTCTCCAGCGTCCAGTCTACGGTCTCCGCCAGGCGCCACATGAGTGGCACGACACATTGAGGACTACGCTTGCGGCTCTTGGGCTTGGTCCTTCTACTGCCGACCCGTCGCTGTTTTTGCGCACCGACACCTCTCTGCCGCCGTTCTACATCCTCGTGTACGTCGACGACTTGGTCTTTGCCACTGCTGACACTGCTGGACTCGCCCATGTGAAGTCCAAGCTGCAGAAGAGACACACGTGCACTGACCTGGGTGAACTGCGCAGCTACCTTGGCTTGCAGATCACCCGGGACAGAGCACGCCGCACCATTACCCTGACTCAGTCACACATGGTGCAGCAGGTCCTTCAGCGCTTCGGCTTCACGTGCTCCTCGCCTCAGGCCACTCCTCTTCCTACTCGCCACTCACTCTCAGCTCTGCCTTCGGATGAGTCCATAGAGTCGAGTGGCCCGTATCCAGAGCTTGTTGGCTGCCTCATGTACCTGATGACGTGCACACGACCTGACCTTGCATACCCTCTTAGCATTCTTGCACGCTATGTTGCTCCTGGGAGACACCGACCAGAGCACATGGCTGCAGCGAAGAGGGTGTTGCGCTACTTGTGCAGTACGTCGGGCATGGGGCTAGTGCTTGGAGGGCAGAGTTCAGTGGTCCTCACTGGGCACGTGGACGCTTCTTGGGCTGACGACCAGGCTACGCAGCGGTCGTCAGAGGGTTACACCTTCAGCCTTGGCTCCGGCTCTATTTCGTGGCGGGCTACTCGCTCGTCTTCTGTTCCCGGCTCGAGTTGTGAGGCTGAGATCTACGCCGGGGCCATGGCTGCACAGGAGCTTCGCTTGCTCAGCTACCTGCTGACCGACCTTGGAGAGCCGCCTCGTTCTCCTCCAGTCCTGTACGTAGACAACAAGGCCATGCTGGCCTTGTGTTGAGAGCAGAGACTGGAGCATTGAACAAAGCACATTGCTCTTCGCTACTTCCTTGCTTCTGAGCTTCAGCAGCGTGGACAGCTGCGGCTTGCGTACGTGGCCTCTGAGGCCAACACTGCTGATGTCTTCACTAAGGCACTTGCGCCTTGTGATCATTAGCGCTTCTGCACTCAGCTGGGTCTTGTGCCTGTCTTGCCTCACTTGCTCACCTCTTGACGTTGCTTGTACTGTTGCATGTATATACTCTTGCTCTTGCTTGTCTAGCCTTTTATATATATGTACTCCTGCATGTAAACTAGCCTTGTGGCCTTGAACTTGTGCTCGGAATGTGTGGTGACTTTGTGATCCACCCTGAGCTTGCTTTGCTTTGCTTGACTGGTATTATGACCCCTTGTTCTCCCCCATTTTGCCTATGGGGGTGTGTCAGAACATATAGCTTGTGCATATTGTGTAGGCTATAGTGGGTTAGCCCATAAGGGGTACAACCCAATTAGGGTTAGTACTTGTACCCAGTTCATCCATAGTTCATTCATTCTCGTTTCTTCTCAATAATTACCCAGTCTAAAATGCTGGTGGATGGATTGATACAATAGGTACACTCGGGGCACCAGCACACACAAGCTTTAATAAAAAAATGACTGGTCTTTGGTTCCAACATGTTGCCAAGGGCAGCACTCAAGGAGAGGGATGTCCTTCCAGTTGTGCTCTACGGATTGCCTTGCTATGGAGAGGTGAACAGACAGAGTGTAAGCAGGCAAGCAAGGGGGGTAGGTTACAGTCTGTAAGCACCTACCCTTCATAAGGGGTGAAAGAGAAAGGGAACAAGGGAGAAAGGAGGGGTGAACAAGAGGAGGGAAGGAGAATCTTCCCTTCCCTACCCTTCACAAGGGGTGAGAGATTTAAGGGAACAAGGACGAGAGAAAGAGTGGGAAAACAGTCGGAACGGGGGTGGTTGGAACGAGGGCGAGCAAGACGGAACAAGCCCAAGCAGGGGGGAGAAGACAGGGTTAGAATTGGTGGAAAATGATGGGAATCATGTGGAAGCACAGGAAAACAGTAGTGGAACGAGGCAAGGGGGGAAACTGAGGGCAAGTAGGGGAGAAACTGAGGGAAAGGAGGGTAGAAATTGAGGGCAAGGAGAGTTGAAACTGAGGGCAAGGAGGGGGGGAGCTGAGGCCAAGAAGGGTGGAAAATGAGGGCAAGGGGAGGGGAAACCGAGGGCAAGGAGGGAGGAAACTGAAGGGCAAGGGGAGGGGAGGGAAACTGAGGGCAAGGAGAGGGGAAACTAAGGGCAAGGAGAGGGGAAACTGAGGGCAAGGGGGGGGGGGGGAGGGAAACTAAGGGCAAGGAGGGGGGAAATTCAGGACAAGGAGGTGGGAATCTGAGGGCCAAGAGGGGGGGTGGAGAAACTGAGGGCAAGGCGGGGGGAAACTGAGGGTCAAGGAGGGGGGAAACTGAGGGCAAGGAGGGGGGAAATTGAGGGAAAGGAGGGGGGAAACTGAGGGCAAGGAGGGGGGAAACTGATGGGCGAGGGGGAGATTGAAGGCAAGAAAGAAGGGTAAATTGTTGTGAAGGGAAAGGAGAGGGACGGAAATGGAAAGGGAGGGACAAGAATGGAATGGAGGGAAGGGAAGAGGAGGGAAAGGAGGGTAGCGGAATGAAACTGTTGGAAAGGGAAGGGAATATGGGAAGGGAGGGGCAATAGAAGGGGGGAAAAGTAATGAAACGGAATTAAAAGGATAGGATGCGAAGGGAAGGGACGAAAGAGAAGGATAGGGAAGAGAACGGAAGAAAAGAGAAGAGAGGGTAGGGGGCGGGCTCGAATGGACTTCGGCGGGCCGCCGTGTGTGAGAAGGCTGGCAAGCCGAATGTGAGAAAGCGGGCAAGCGGAGTGTGAGAAAGCGGGCAAGCCAAATGTGAGAAGGCGGGCAAGCAGAGTGTGAGAAGGCGGGCAAGCCGAGTGTGAGAAGTGGGCAAGCCGAATGATAGAAAGCGGGCAAGCAGAGTGTGAGAAAGCGGGCAAACCGAGTGTGAGAAGGCGGGCAAGCCGGGTGTGAGAAGGCGGGCAAGCCGAGTGTGAGAAAGTAAGCAAGCCGAGTGTGAGAAAGCGGGCAAGCCGAGTGTGAGAAGGCGAGCAAGCCGAGCATGAGAAAGCGGGCAAGCCGAGTGTGAGAAAGCGGGCAAGCCGAGTGTGAGGAGGCGCGCAAGCCGAGTGTGAGAAAGCGGGCAAACTGAGTGTGAAAAAGCGGGCAAACTGAGTGTGAGAAAGCGGGCAAACTGAGTGTGAGAAAGCGAGCAAACTGAGTGTGAAAAAGTGGGCAAGCTGAGTGTCAGAAGGCGGGCAAGCCGAGTGTGAGAAGGCAGGCAAGCCAAGTGCGAGAAAGCGGGCAAGCCGAGTGTGAGAAAGCGGGCAAGCCGAGTCGGAGAAGGCGGGCAAGCCGAGTGTGAGAAAGCGGGCAAACCAATTGTGAAAAAGCGGGCAAACCGAGTGTGAGAAAGCGGGCAAACTGAGTGTGAGAAAGCGGGCAAACTCAGTGTGAAAAAGCAGGCAAACTGAGTGTGAGAAAGCGGGCAAACTGAGTGTGAGAAAGTGGGCAAACCAAAAGTAAGAAAGCGGGCAAACAGAGTGTGAAAAAGCGGGCAAGCCGAGTGTGAAAAAGCGGGCAAACTGAGTGTGAAAAAGCCGGCAAGCCGAGTGTGAGAAGGCGGGCAAATAGAGTGTGAGAAGGCGGGCAAGCCGAGTGTGAGAAAGCAGGCAAGCCGAGTGTGAGAAGGCGGGCAGGCCGAGTGTGAGAAAGCGGGCAAAGCGAGTGTGAGAAAGCGGGCAAACTGAGTGTGAAAAAGTGGGCAAGCCGAGTGTGAGAAGGCGGGCAAGCAGAGTGTGAGAAGGCGGGCAAGCAGAGTGTGAGAAAGCAAGCAAGCCGAGTGTGAGAAAGCGGGCAAGCCGAGTGTGAGAAGGAGGGCAAGCCGAGGGTGAGAAAGCGGGCAAACCGAGTGTGAGAAAGCGGGCAAACTGAGTGTGAAAAAGTGGGCAAGCCGAGTGTGAGAAGGCGGGCAAGCAGAGTGTGAGAAGGCGGGCAAGCCGAGTGTGAGAAAGCAGGCAAGCCGAGTGTGAGAAAGCGGGCAAGCCGAGTGTGAGAAGGCGGGCAAGCCGAGGGTGAGAAAGCGGGCAAACCAAGTGTGAAAAAGTGGGCAAACCAAGTGTGAGAAAGCGGGCAAACAGAGTGTGAGAAAGCGGGCGAACTAAATGTGAAAAAGCGGGCAAACTGAGTGTGAGAAAGCGAGCAAACTGAGTGTGAGAAAGTGGGCAAACTGAGTGTGAGAAAGTGGGCAAATCGAGTGTGAGAAAGCGGGCAAACCGAGTGTGAGAAAGTGGGCAAAACGAGTGTGAAAAGGCGGGCAAGCCGAGTGTGAGAAAGTGGGCAAGCCAAGTGTGAGAAGGCGGGCAAGCCGAGTGTGAGAAAGCGGGCAAACCGAGTGTGAAAAAGCGGGCAAACCGAGTGTGAGAAAGCGGGCAAACCAAGTGTGAGAAAGCGGGCAAACTGAGTGTGAAAAAGTGGGCAAGCCGAGTGTGAGAAGGCGGGCAAGCAGAGTGTGAGAAGGCGGGCAAGCCAAGTGTGAGAAAGCGGGCAAGCCGAGTGTGAGAAAGCGGGCAAACCGAGTGTGAAAAAGCGGGCAAACCAAGTGTGAGAAAGCGGGCAAACTGAGTGTGAGAAAGCGGGCAAACTGAGTGTGAAAAAGTGGGCAAACTGAGTGTGAGAAAGCGGGCAAACTGAGTGTGAGAAAGTGGGCAAACTGAGCGTGAGAAAGCGGGCAAACCGAGTGTGAAAAAGCGGGCAAACCGAGTGTGAGAAAGCGGGCAAACCGAGTGTGAGAAAGCGGGCAAACTGAGTGTGAAAAAGTGGGCAAGCCGAGTGTTGTTCAGGATCCGTCACTTTGAGAGCTTACGACGAAATCATTACTCAACTAAACGCAAATCCCCTTGGTAGGAAGTTGCGTCTTAGGCTTAACTACCATCTCCAAGTTGAATCAGTCGTTAAGATGGTCTAGAGAGTGAGAACCAAGTAAAAACGTCCAGCAGCCGCATGACTAGAATGGTGGAGGAAGTACAAACATTAGGGCATAGAAAGTTGGAGTTGGGAACCTCCAAGAGAACCATGAGAGGGAAGGGGTTCTCCAAGAGCTAGGGAAGGATGGTAAGAACCTTCCTAGCAGCAAGGATGCAACCCTCATCATAAGGTCCTTGAGGTGTCACATGCAAAATCCAATCTAGTTGGATTTTGCCTAGGTGTTGCAACATTTGCAACCCATGCTAGAAACTTCTAGCCACCCCAATCCAAAAGTCAAAGTTGGCTTCCTAACCACCCAACTAAAGATCCCTTTATAGTCATGTCCCAAGTAATCACCCAAATTAGATATAACCCCAAAAAGGTAATAAGAAATCCAAATCTTGGAAATCTTGTAACTTGGGCGATCTTGGTCGGAATAAGGCGATCTTGGTATCGTTGGAAAGCTCTGGATTTCTCCTGCATGATCAAGCAGTTAGACTTGGAGAAAAAACACAGAGATGACAATATCCAACAGCCATGCACAATGGCATACGCTCATGCAAATCATGCAAGCACAAATAGCACGAGCACTCGGCGGGACGTTAGGATGACATGCACTCAGAATGACGTGCATTCAACAAACTCCCCCTCAGACTAACGGACTGCATGCACACACACCCACACACATGCATAGTCTCATGCACACAATCACACATGCATTTATGATACTGCTGCCCACACTAGTGCAATGCCATGCCGCACATCTTAGCACACTTCCAATGTGCGCTCTCGGGAAGTCTCTTTGTGAGAAAATCTGCCGCTTGCTTGTTAGCCTTCACATGGTGAAGCTCAACAGCTCCCTCCTTCACCATCTGCCTCACCCAGTGCCACTTAATCTTCATGTGCTTGTTCAGCCCATTCAGGATAGGATTATTGGCCATGCCAATAGCAGCCTCGCTGTCGGAGAAAAGTGGTGTAGGTCCCTCCTGTTCAGCTCCCATGTCCTGCAGCAGCTTCCTCAGGAGCACGATCTCCTTGATGGCATGGTACATCGCCATGTACTTTGCCTCTCCGGAAGACTGAGCAATCTCACTCTACTTCTTGGACCTCCAGCTCACTGGTCCACCTCCGACCATGCACACAAAGCCGCCAACCGATGACTGATCCTCATCCTCTGAGGCCCATGTGGCGTCGGTGAAGCACGACAGCTTCAAGGTACCAGGGGTGACCCCATCTGCTCCAATCTGTTTCAGCTGGCCGCCAGCTGAAACCTGAACACCGGCAAATGCCGTTGATCCAAGGTAGCGCACCAAGCGCTTTGCCACCTCCAACTGCTCCACAGTGGGCCGTTGCACAACTCTGGCCAGCTGCCCCACTCCGAATGAAGCATCAGGTCGCGTATGCACAACTGCATACATCACACTCCCAATGAGTGACTGGTACTCATTCTGCTGCTCATCCTCAAGCACATCATCCTCCTCTGCTGCCTTCTTCAATTTGAAGCCTGCAGGGAACGGTGTCATCACAGTGCGACCCCCAGTCACACCATACCGCTCCATGACACCAGAGATGTAGTGTGACTGATGCACCTTCAGCCACCTTCGCTCGTGGGAACGGGAACCGCGCAAACTTGTTTTGCATGCACGTCTCGCAGCTGCCATAGTGAGTGCCATTTCCTTGCAATTGCAGCCCATGCACGCACGTCTCCTTGTGCATCACCTCCAATGTAGAAACAGCCACGTGTGCGAGCCGCCGATGCCAAGTCTCCCAATCCGCTTGGCCCGAGGTAGCCGACGCCTTCACCGCCGCGCTTCCTCCAATCAGCTCCTCTCCTTGCACACCTTGCTGCTCCTCCTCGGTAACGCTCTCCTCCATAGATGCCGCCATTGCCGCCTTGCCCGATTTCCGCCAAGGAAGGACCGGGATCTGCCACATCCGCTTGTGGACATCCCCTTTCCACTGCAGGTCCCAAATCAGCCGCTCATCGTTGTAGGCACGATAGCGCTCCGAGCCAATCGTCTCGGTGTTCACACCCGCATCTCCCAACCGGCCGGTAGATATCAGGTTCGCGCACAAGTCCGGCACCCACAGCACGTTCTTCAGCCCCACGAGCTCTCCATCCGCTCCCATGAACTTGGCGCATCCCATGCCCATGACCTTGGCCTTGGCGCCCGTCGCGGATGTGACTGTAGGGATGGGTGCGGGCTGAATCTCATCAAGTAGGTCCGCACGGGGAGTCATGTGCCAAGAGCTCCCGGAGTCAATCACCCAATGGGTGAGGGGGTGTAGGAGAACCTTGGCAGCCATAGCGTGGTCAGTTGCGCCTTCGTTCACGAAGAAGAAGAACCCGGCCTTCCGCTCCTCAGATTTGCCGCCTTTCTCCTCATCCTTCTCCTCTCCACTAGCTCCCATGACTCCCCCACTCCTCGTGCCACCACGCTGGTTGCTTGATGAAGGCGGGGTCCAATCCTTGGGTCGTTGGTAGCACTTCCGCCAACGATGTCCGCGCTTCTTGCAGTAGAAGCACACCTCCCCTTGACCCCCGCCGCCATCCTCCTTAGGGTTATCCTTGTTCTTGCCCTTCCACTTCTTCTTGAAGCCACTTTTTCCACCTCCAACTCCATAGCCAGCCCCCTCCTCCGAGCGCTCCACACTCCGCCGCCGCAAGTCCTCCTCTAGGATGCGCGCGCGAATGTAATCCACGCTCCATTGGGGTTGCTGGGAGTTGAGGTTGATCGCAAGGGCAGACCATGACTCCGGCAGCCGTATCACGATCTCCATGCATTGCACGAGCTCCGGGTACACCACACCGCCTCCTTGGAGCTTCGTGAAGATGTCGCGCATCTCATCCAACACCGGTTGCATCGGCTCTCCATCAACGAACCTGATGTCGCGCAGCCGCCGCGCGAGTAGCACGATGCCGGTAGCATGTGTCGGTGAGTGCACATCCAAAAGCTTCCTCCAAGCCTTGGGGCCACACTCTGGATCACCCAAGAGGTCCTTGATGTGGTCAAGTTGCCGTCCGCCCACCGCTTGCACCATGAGCATATACGCGTCGAACGATCGCTTCATCCACGCTCCTTTCAGCTCCGCGGCCTCCGGCATCTTCTCCTTCCCCTCCACCAAATCCAATAGCTTGTATTGGGTATACATCAGCCTCATGCGGAAACTCCAGTGCTCGTAGTCCTCCCCCATGAATTTCTCAATAGAGAAAGCTTTCACAGGATCCACGGTATTAGGAGATGGTGTAGAAGAAGTAGGTAGCGTAGGGTTGGCTGGTTGGTGAGTCCCCACCCCTCCACCAGCAACTCCCCCTTGATCTCCAGCCTCTCTACTTCTATCCATCTCGCCACTAGCACCTCCGGAGTTCGTACCAACCGTATTGAGGCCTTATAAACGGTGGAAACTTGAGAAATCGTTTGGAGAGAATTCTGCCAGAAATTTCGATTCTACGAAAATCGCCGTCGCGGACTGGATACTACGAAGTAGAACGCGATTTGACCATCAATCAAAAGTTCGCAAGCCGATCTACTAGAAAATGGTCTCACTCGACAACATTGGCTGAGTATTCACGACGATTCGTCGTCTCAAAGTCGACAACCCGCTCTGATACCACTTGTTGTTCAGGATCCGTCACTTTGAGAGCTTACGACGAACTCATTACTTAACTAAACGCAAATCCGCTCGGTAGGAAGCTGCGTCTTAGGCTTAACTACCATCTTCAAGTTGAATCAGTCGTTAAGATGGTCTAGAGAGTGAGAACCAAGTAAAAACGTCCAGCAGCCGCATGACTAGAATGGTGGAGGAAGTACAAACATTAGGGCATAGAAAATTGAAGTTGGGAACCTCCAAAAGAACCATGAGAGGGAAGGGGTTCTCCAAGAGCTAGGGAAGGATGGTAAGAACCTTCCTAGCAGCAAGGATGCAACCCTCATCATGAGGTCCTTGAGGTGTCACATGCAAAATCCAATCTAGTTGGATTTTGCCTAGGTGTTGCAACATTTGCAACCCATGCTAGAAACTTCTAGCCACCCCAATCCAAAAGTCAAAGTTGGCTTCCTAACCACCCAACCAAAGATCCCTTTATAGTCATGTTCCAAGTAATCACCCAAATTAGATATAACCCCAAAAAGGTAATAAGAAATCCAAATCTTGGAAATCTTGTAACTTGGGCGATCTTGGTCGGAATAAGGCGATCTTGGTATCGTTGGAAAACTCTGGATTTCTCCTGAATGATCAAGCAGTTAGACTTGGAGAAAAAACACAGAGGTGATAATATCCAACAGCCATGCACAATGACATACGCTCATTCAAATCATGCAAGCACAAATAGCACGAGCACTCGGCGGGACGTTAGGATGATATGCACTCAGAATAACGTGCATCTAACATGCTAGCCACTATTGTCAGTGACCCCTCGTTTGAGTCTTCTGCTGCGTCTGCATTAGTCGCTGAGCTTGTTGACTTTGCTGTTGCCTGTCATCTAGACTACGCTGCTAGTCTTGTTACTGAGTCTGAGTTTGTCTGTCCTCCGTCCATCGGGGGTGAGTCTGCTCTTAGCACGGACGTCCTTGAGGACAGGCACGAGGACCTTGAGTGTTTTGCAGCCGCCGCGCCTCATCTTGTGTCCATGCTGCTCGCCCCTGAGGGAGACCCGGATGCACCAGAGATCCCGACCCCGCGCTCTTACGCTGAGGCGATTGCGGGTGAGTACTCCTCTCACTGGCAGACAGCCATGGATGCAAAGATGGCTTCCTGGAAGTCCACAGGCACCTACGTCGACGAGGTTCCCCCTCCAGGGGCGAACATCGTCAGTGGCATGTGGATTTTCAGGGTGAAGCGGCCGCCAGGTTCTCCGCCTGTCTTCAAGGCTCGTTACGTTGCTCGAGGTTTCTGTCAGCGAGAGGGGGTTGACTTCTTCCAGACCTTCTCCCCCACCCCGAAGATGACCACTCTTCGGGTGCTGCTGCACGTTGCCGCCCAGCGTGACTACGAGCTTCACTCTCTTGACTTCAGCACTGCTTTCTTACAGGGCAGCCTGAACGAGGAGATCCGGCTGCGCCGCCCACCTGGCTTCACTGAGTCATTCCCTCCTGGTACCCACTGGAGCCTCCGGCGGCCAGTCTACGGTCTCCGCCAGGCGCCGCGTGAGTGGCACGACACACTGAGGACTACACTTGCGGCTCTTGGGTTTGCTCCGTTGACTGCTGACCCGTGGCTGTTTCTGCGCACCGACACTTCTCTGCCGCCGTTCTACATCCTCGTGTACGTCAACGACTTGGTCTTTGCCACAGCTGACACTGACGCTCTCGCCCTAGTGAAGTCAGAGCTGTAGAAGAGACACACGTGCACAAACCTGGGTGAGCTGCACAGCTACCTTGGCTTGCAGATCACCCAGGACAGAGCACGCCGCACCATCACACTGACTCAGTCACACATGGTGCAGCAGGTCCTTCAGCACTTCGGCTTCTCTTGGTCCTCGGCACAGCCCACTCCTCTTGCTACAAGTCACTTGCTCTCAGCTCCACCTTCGGACGAGTCCGTAGAGCCGAGTGGTCCTTACCCAGAGCTAGTGGGCTGCCTCATGTACCTGATGACCTGCACTCGTCCTGACCTTGCGTACCCTCTTGGCCTTCTGGCTCGCTACGTGGCTCCTGGTCGACACCGAAAGGTGCACATGGATGCTGCTAAGAGGGTAGTACGCTACTTGTGCTGTACATTGAGCATGGGGCTCATGCTTGGAGGACGGAGCGACATTGTCCTCACTAGGCACTCAGGCGCTTCTTGGGTTGACGACCAGGCTACGCAGCGGTCGTCAAAAGGTTACACCTTGAGCCTTGGCTCTGGTTCGGTTTGTTGGCGTTCTACACGCTCGTCTTCAGTTCTCGCCTCGAGTTGTGAGGTTGAGATCTACGCCACAGCCATGGCTGCACAGGAGTTACGCTGGCTCACATACCTGCTGACCGACTTGGGAGAGGCCTCGTTCTTCTCCAGTGCTGTACGTCGACAACAAGGACGCCATTGCCTTATGTCAGGAGCACAGACTGGAGCACTGAACGAAGTACATCGCTCTGCGTTACTTCCTTGCTCGAGAGCTACAGCAGCGTGGTCAGCTTTGTCTGCGTTTCAAGGCCGCTCAGGCCAAGCGAATCGGGAGAGGCCTCGTTCTTCTCCATCGGGGTTATGGGTGCCTTTGAGATCCGCGCCCGTGGAGTCGACAGCGGAGGTTAGTTTTCTTGTCTCACTCCACATCACAATGTAACCATTGCCAAACGTGAGACTGTTAGCGATCGGGTCATACGAGTAGTTGCTGTTGGGGGGGAACGAAAGCGACGGTGCCATCGGGGGTGAGCATGAGCGGTGCGCCGATATAGATCGATGCACCAGCGGGGCCAACGATGGTGCCGTTGCTCCACCCAGTCAGGTCCCCTGCAGTGTACGACCCGTCCTTGTTAAGAGTTGGCACAGCTTTCTTTCCCGAGGCGTCCAGAATCGTTCCGTTTTTCAGGAACGTCGTTTTTTCCCATGTTGAACCCCACGGTGGGTCCATTGATGACGATTACGATGCTGGGACCGGTGAGCGTGCTATTGGCGTAAGCGGTGTACGCCTTGTCAACAGTGACGGATCCGTCGGGGTTTGTAACGAATTTGAGAGGCGCGCCGTGAGAGTCGACGGCGGAGGTGATTCCCGCAGGACCCCACGTCACTGAGTATGCATTGCCGAACAAAAGGCTGTTGGTCGCCGAGACGAAGGCGTATTTGTTGCTGGTGGCGGTTGTGGGAGGGGCAGAGTAAGCGGCAGCAGCAGCCGACGAGACGAAGATCATGGCGAAAACCAGCATGGTGAGCGACGGAGAGGTCTGGCGAGCCATGGCTGGAGGGGGGAACGCCCGAGGAAGAGTAGACTACTAGAGAGAAAGGCTGCACAGGCGCTGGCTCCTCTTAACCGAAGCTGGAAGTGCTCGTAATGATTATCAGTCCCTCTCACGATCCTTTGGACTAAGGAGTGAGTTGGCGCGAGGAATTGATAGGGAGCTAATCATGGGAAGCGCGAGAGAACATGCTAGCAGATGATGGCGTGGCAAGAGGCACGGGCAGATAAACTCTATCATCTGGGGATGCATTAGAAAATTTCATCCTGACACACTGGACCTATCGATCACAGCCACGTGCGCCTGGTGGGAGAAGCTCCGTTGTGGCGGTCAGGAGTTTCTTCCATTTGAAAAGACGGCTGAAGAACATGGCAGCAGATAGCGAGCCGGGAGGAGCGGGCGTAAAGACTCTAGATGGGATGCAATAGAAAAAATTCCTCCTCGCACACCGGACCGACCGATCGCAGCTACGTGGGCTGGTGGGAGAAGCTCCGTTGTGGCGGTCATGATTTTCTTCCATTCTAAAAAACGGCATACCCATTGACCATTACTGCTGTGTGAAGCCGAGCTAAAGAACTAACAGCGTATTCCAAAGCACGGACACCATCTGAAGTGGCCCCATCCGAACTTCTTGGGGCTCAGGATGGTGTCTGTGTGGGGCAGGCCCCCACTCTTGACTTTTGGGGTCGCAGGGTTGGCCGGAACGGTCGTCTGCGTCGTCTGACGCAGAGCTGGTTTGGTTTGCTTCGCGCCCAATAGAATCTGCCAGAACCCGTCGCAGTGTAGCCTCCCAAACGTCAAGTTCTGACTTCGCGGGCAATTGTGAAACTTGTGCCGCGAAATCGTTTTTCCCCCCGCTTTGAACATTAGATTTGGTTGACACTCGCGATGTGTTTTTATGTTGGTTGGCTTGGTGTTCAGAGCAGCGAGTACTTGTTCACGTCGTGAGGATCTGGAGTTTGTACAACCGACTAGCACGCGGGTCAGAATGCGTAAAGTTTCGTGACGTTAACTGGTCACGGTAACTCAGCCTGTCAGGTTCAAGGTCCCAATCATACACCAACATGGCATGAAACCCCTTGTCGCATGAAGACGTGCAAGACGGTCGCATGTTACGTGGCCGTCAGCTCCAAAGTGTCTTGATGCCGAACCGCGTGGCGCAACATTGAAATTCGAATTTCCAACATTGCGGACCGCGTGGCCCAACTTCGGATGGTGTCCCTACTTTGGAATACGCCCTAAGGCCATTATTGTCAGCTTAGACTAGGCTAAGGAGGAGGGCTTCTGGTCTGGATGTGGCTGCGGTTGCTGCCTAGGTTGCGGAAAACCCAGCTGGTAACCACGTTCGCGAAATCCCAATTTGCCTGCAGCGACGATCGCCGGAAACGCAAATTCGGGTTTCGGTTTCCCCAATTGGCCCCAAGCCAACGCCTTCAATCACCAAGCCATGCAAGGCGCCCATTGGTGCACTGTACACACATATCACCCCACACCACCCAGGTTCGACTACAATCGGGAACAAGCGTGAAAGGCGTGCCCGATTGGGCCTACGTTGAATGGCTAGCTCTCGCATACATCACTTTCCATGTGTAATCCGAAGACAGGCTTCCGTCGCCCCAATTTTTGCATCAATAGTTGAGCCCGCTGACATCAGCATGTCGGGCTGCTCATATCAGCTAGTTCCCGAACACGAATTACACCTCGCACCTACTGGTTTCCACACTTCGTCCCGTGCGAGTTTCGACAAGTCTTGAAGCACATTATTACTCAGAAAATATGAGCAGACACGGCAAGAGAAGCACTGCCTGTGCTTGTAATACGGGTTTCCGAATCACACTAGTTTCTTCCCTTGCTTCCCCATTGTTCCCGATGTGTCTCTTCACCAATGTGAAGAAAACGCGCAATCTATGTGGAGGATATTCCGCGCCGGCACACATTCTGTGCGACGAAGGCTATCGCCTTCTTTCCCAACCACCGCGTCCTCGAAACACCCATCAAATGCCATCCTCGCCGTCCTTTCTCATCGACATCGATGCTCCCTCCCGACTCTACGTTTCGCATCGCGGATCCCCTAAATCGTCGTCGCCCACGCACCCAATTGAGATGACGACGTTCACGTTTCCCCTCGCAATCCTAGTCGCACACCCTTCCGCCGCCCCCTCGTTGTCCTTCGTTTGCATCACGATGTAGGGTCGCTGAACCAACGCCCTCGCCTCGACATCCCCACGAGTCTAAGATTAGGTCGCGTTCGTCTCTTTTCATTGATTCCCCTCCTTGTCGACAGCCCCTCCCATCCCCTCCCATAGCATGCAGCCCCCTTCCTTCCAATGACGTCTTCGCATCACCTCCTCGTCGCCCTCGCGACTTCACCCTTGGCGATGTAGAGCGTTTTTTAGAATCCTCAAAAGCACTCATCACCTCCTCGTCGCCCTCGCGACTTCACCCTTGGCGATGTAGAGCGTTTTTGAGAATCCTCAAAAGCACTCATCACCTCCTCGTCGCCCTCGCGACTTCACCCTTGGCGATGTAGAGCGTTTTTGAGAATCCTCAAAAGCACTCATCACCTCCTCGTCGCCCTCGCGACTTCACCCCGCCACCCGCTCGTTTCCTTCTCTCACATTCCTGGTCGCCTCCTCATCCCATGCACGTCAGCGTGGTTGCTTCACCTGGTCGCTCGTGCGGACCCCATCGCCAGCAACAGTACACGTCCCTCGCAGACCCTGCCCCTCGAGCCGCCACATGCCATCATTTCTCCTCCCCTCCGCCCTCCCCTCCGCGCGCCCCTCTTCTCTCTCGGAATGGCGCGCAAGGATGCTTGCCTACTGTATTCGTCTCTCCGACCCGCTCCGTGCAAGTGAAGGGTACGGGGGTGAGGAGGGTGCAGAGCAGACCTGGCAACGCATTGAATTTCTGTGATGCCCCCACGACCCACCCATTTTGGAATCCCCCGACAAGAGAGGGGAAACAGTATCATGGTGGGGGGAGGGTGGGAGGATGTATGGCTTCTTTGGAACATGCACCTTGCTCCGCCTCACTGCACCATTCCCTGCCTATTCCACCTCTGCCCTCCCCTCTTCCCCTCAATGCTTCGTCATCCCTCATGCAGCTCCCTCTGCTTTGTCCTCTCCAACAATCCACCCGTGGAACCATACTCCGACCCCTGCCGCCCCTCTCCCACTCCTACGCTTCAGATCTCAGGGTAAATTCGGGCTTGACACGTAACAAAAAATACACGTCACAATCGCGTGTACTGCTCTGGGCCGGGCTACACTGAATTACACCCAAGTATCAAACATTATCTAATTTTCGACGGTTCAGAGCGGTATACATAATTTATTGACGCGATTTTTTGTGACGTGTCAAGGCCCCAATGTACCCTCAGCAGCATCTCTTCCTGCCCATATTTAGTTGCCTGGAGCTGCAGCATGTTCAGTTGCCAGGTTGTGCATTGTCTGCTAGATTGTAACGCCTGTGGGGCTTACACGTAAGGGTATGAGAGCATCCGCTGCGCCTCAAATACAACCCTCGTTTTGACCCAGTGGGTAGCGAGGTGTTACATTTGGTCTCAGAGCCTGGGGTTCGATTCACGGCTGGGTCACATTTGAATGTGCCAGTCGCGAACCCAGTGAACGATCCGCCGCTGGCCTGGCCCACCAGCGAAGTCGCTGTAGAGCGAGATTCAGGTCCTTGCGAGGGCCGACTCCCTGCTCAACGAGGACGTTGGCTCCAGGGGGGGACGAGTGTAACGCCTGTGGGGCTTACACGTAAGGGTATGAGAGCATCCGCTGCGCCTCAAATACAACCCTCGTTTTGACCCAGTGGGTAGCGAGGTGTTACATAGATGGTGGGCAATCCAGAATATTGAAGGTGCTAAAAGGTGATGGTATAGGAAGTGCTTTTTGGCAGCAGTCCTAGCAGCTCACAACAATCCAGGGCCAGGTCGCAGCGAACCATTGCCTCACCGCACTTGCCCTGCCACTCGCACCAACGCCCCCTGTGCCGCTTGGGTCGCAGCGACCCCCCCTCCCACCCTCACTCCAACCACACATGCACTCCTCGCCCCTGCAGGCATTGCTGGCAGCGCTGCCACCGCCTTGGCTGCTGGGGAGACCTGAGCCACCATGGCTGTGCCTCGGCAGACCCACAACGAGGGGAGTGGGGCAACCCACGTGCAAGCGAGGGAGAGAGGGGAGGTGGACGAGGTGGAGGAGGTGGAGGAGGAGGTGGAGGAGGAGGAGGTGGAGGGGATGGAGGGAGAGGCGGAGGAGGGGGGTGAGAGGGAGACCTTGACCAACCGGAGGGATTGAATGGGGTTGAGTATGATGATGAGGTAGTTGATCTTTGCGAGAGTGTTGCTGCAAGGGGGAGACAAGGGGGAAGGAATAACAGATAGGTTGGGAGGGGTTGACGATCAAAGCAGCGGTACTTGTTTCTCCCTGAGGGTAGTGGTGCAAAAGGGGGAGAGGCAGGTAAGAATACAAAGGAATGGGAACATGGTAGCAAGAGACGGTTGAGGGGGGTGCTGAGCGATGACAAGGCAATGCATGTTGGTGGGATTGTTGCTACTACAGAGGAGTGCTGCGACAACATGGAGGGTTGATAAGAGGGGCTGCCAATGCTGTAGTTGGTGAGTGGGTTGCTTCCAGCGGGTTCGGACAGAGACATAGCGACGTGCTAAAGTGGCACAATAGCAATGGCACTACGCACGTGGAGCATACAGGCATGGTGATAGCACACTGCCGCGGGCAGTAACTACACTCGTGTAGAGATGACAGGCACCCACGTGGAGGGGATAGACAGGCACCCACGTGGAGGGGGCAGCAATCACTCACATGGAGGAGACAGAGACTGTGGCGCCTCCCTTGGCTGCTCCGCATAGCGAGGCAGCCGCAGTGGGGTAGAGCACCGGCGTGAGCGCCGAGGGGACTGGCGGGGTGTACAGGAAGGAAACAAGAAGATGGTGTTAGAATCCTCACAAGTGGGCTCCAGTGGCGGACAAAGGGAATGACTGCTACAATTGAGGAGAAGCATGCAGGAATGTTGAGGGGTGCAGAGAGTTGTAGCAGGGTGCAGGACGATGTGCGGCATCAAAAGACATTATCTTCCTTTAGTGCATTACTTGATTTTCCATCCTTATTCCCTCCCTACTCGAACCCACCACACCCTACCTCCACACTCTCTCCACCCGTTACCACCACTCTCCACCCCTCACCACATGCTAACCCCACTCTGCACACCAGCTCACCAGTGTAGAAATACGCCTTGGCTTGAGATAACGTGCCAATGCTGCTGCTGCCAGCGCCCACCACCGCAGCAGAGAAACCAATGCCACTGGTACCACTCGCAGGGGTACCACTCGCAGTGGCACCACTCGCAGTTGCACCACTGGCAGTGGCACCACCGGCAGTGCCAGCAGAAGCAGCAGCAAGGAGAGCGGCAAGGGGAGCAGCGGGGAGGGGAGGCGAGGCAGGCGCGCCCGAGCAGTGCCACACGGAAGGCGCGGGCTGAGCGCAGGCGAGGGGGGGAAGGGGGATCGTGATGACGGGCTGCCGCTGTTGTCTCTGATATAAAGCAATTCGTTTGGGTACAGTGGCTGGCCCGGTAAACACGAGAGTATAGCGAAGGTTGTATTTTGTGGCACTGTGGGAACGGGCAGAAGGAGGGAGGGGGTGAGATGGTATCAAAATTGAGTTCAAGACAGCTACTTGACTGCAGAATTGTTAAGTGCGGGCGAACGAGCTATTGGTGCAGGCGAGCAGTGCAAAAACGTTGTTGCTTACTTTCTTTGAACGAGCAGGCTGAGAGTGCTCGCCCTGCTTTGTCAGAAAAGGTGATCACGAGGTTTACTGCCAATAGGAGCGGCAATGTTGGAAATCCAATGCGCGGATAAGGATAGAAGCTTTGGGTGGAGAGTTGGCGGATGGTGAGGCACGCGATGGGATGGTGAGGCACGCGATGGGATGGTGAGGCACGCGATGGGATCATCGCGAAAAAACCAAGCACATAAAGTTGCTTCCCTGCAGCTTCAAAGTTGCTTTTCCGCAACTTTTGTTTCGCAAAAAAAAAGTCTAGGTCAAAGGCTTCTGGGTCAGGGTTACAGGGAAAGTGGTTTTCCCGCAACTTTCCCGCAGCTTTTTAGCAACGTTTCCGGCAACATGGCCGCAACCCGCACGGCGTCATGTGGGTCGCTTCTACGTCATGTAGCTGCCAGTGACATTTGCGTCACCATGCGGACACTCCACGGTTACACCTGTGTGTTGCCACATAGCTGCCGATTAGCATACATGAAGTCACTATTCCACGTCAGCATAATATTTACACGTGTAATCACGCTTTATGACAGGTGGATGCCAGACCATAACGAATCGTATCGCGCCGCATGTACGGTCGAGATGGCCACAGTCGTACGGACGCGATTGTCGCGTGGCAACTCCACTATGCCAACCGCAGCACGGCACATGGCCGCACCGGATACGCCGACAACCTCCAGATCTCACACCCATACGCCTCATCTCTACCATCCGTCCGATACAAATGTCATCCCACGATTTGTAGTGGAATCCACCTGTACCTACACACGCCGTCCGTTCGGTGATAGGGTTTTCCAACTAGGACTACTGATACCAATCGCACGTTCACCCGTAATCGTCGCAGATCTCACGATAACACACCAGTGACCATATCCATCACACACGTGGCAAATAGCCATTAGACACCGTCGTCGGGCAAAAAAAAAAGCCGCGTCTCATTGATGAACGGTTCGGCAGATTGTACGGTTGCCCTCTATCCACGTCGCTAGACTAGCGTGACATCTAACGGCTCCTATTTACCGCGCCGCATTTGTCGCCGCGATTAGTGCCGCATTTGTCGCCGTACAGCGCGGAATGCAGAGAGTTGCGTTTCAACCATCCTCGTGTCCAACATGCACAAGGTCTCCGCTAGGTGTGCAATATCCAAGATATATGTCACCGATTTACTGCACAAATGCACTGAACCAACAACAACCACAACCTGTTGTCAGAACATTACATAGCTTATGCTGTTGTGTAGGCTATAGTGGGGTATCCCATAGGGGGTACAACCCAATTAGGGTTTCATATTTGTATCACTTTCATTCCATAGTCATTCATTCGTGTTCTTTAGTTTCACATGGTATAGAGCACGTTCCCTGTGGGAACTTCGCCTAGGGACCACCGAAGCGCGCCCCGAGGCGCGCGATTTTTTTTTTTTGCGACCCTCCGTGTCGCCCTTCCCCTCACGGCCCCGCTGCCCTTATCGCGGCCCCGCCGCCCTTCAGACGCGGCCCCGCCGCCCTTACTAGCGGCCCCGCCGCCCTTTCTAGCGGCCCCACCACCCCTTCGAGCGGCCCCGCCACTCCGTCGCGGCCCCGCCGCCCCGTCGCGGCCCCGCCACCCAGTCACGGCCCCGCTGCCTCTTCCTCGCGGACCCGCCGCTCCGTCGCAGCCCCGCCACTCCGTCGCGGCCCCGCCGCCCCTTCGCGGCCCCGCCGCCTCTTCCTCGCGGCCCCGCCGCCCCGTCGCGGCCCCGCCACTACGTCGCGGGCCCGCCGCCCCGTCGCGGCCCTGCCACCCAGTCGCGTCCCCGCCGCCCCCTTCGAGCGGCCCCGCCACTCCGTCACGGCCCCGCCGCTCTACCTGCGGCCCTACCGCCGCCCTATCTGCGGCCTTGCGCCGCCCTTCCTGCGGCCCACCCGCCGCCCTACCTGCGGCCCACCCGCCGCCCTACCTGCGGCCGTCCCGCCGCCATACCTGCGGCCGTCCGCCGCCCTACCTGCGGCCGTCCCGCCGCCCTACCTGCAGCCGTCCCGCCGCCCTACCTGCGGCTCATAAGCCGCCCTACCTGCGGCCCACCCGCCGCCCTACCTTCGCGGCCCAGCCGCCCTACCTACGTGGCCCTGCCAACAGCCGAGCCGCCCAGCAGCACCCGAGCCACCCAGCCGCAGCCGAGCCGCCCAGCAGCAGCCAAGCCGCCCGGGAGCAGCCGAGCCGCCCAGAGCCGCTGAGCCGCCCAGCAGCAGCCGAGCCGCACAGGAGCAGCCGAGCCGCACGGGAGCAGCCGAGCCGCCCTGGAGCCGCCGAGCCGCCCAGCAGCAGCCGAGCCGCCCAGCAGCATCCGAGCCGCCCCGCAGCAGCCGAGCCGTCCAGGAGCCGCCGAGTCGCCCTACTACCGGGCCGCCCGACCTGCCCTGTCTAGTGAGCACGGCACTGCCCTACTGCTACTGCGTGCCCTTCCCCACTACTTGCACTGCTAGTCTGTCGTCATGGCTACCCCCAGTGTCCTAGCTTTTGACGCTGAGGGCAGAGCCATTGACTTTGAGGTCTGGGTCGACGACCTGCAGTTGTTCTTACAGTGCGATAGGGCGGACGGTCTTTCTCTTTTTGACCTCACCTCTGGCGCCTCTCCGGCTCCTGCTGCTGATGCTGACCCCACTGTTCGCTCTCAGTGGGCCACCCGCGATGCTGCTGCACGTCTTGCTGTGCGTCGCCACTTGCCCACCACTGAGCGCGCACACTTTAGTCAGTACAAGAGTGCTCAGACCTTGTACGACGCTGTAGCTGCGCGCCACTCTTCCCCTGCCACTGCTGCACTGAACCGTCTCATGCTACCGTACCTCTTTCCTGATCTCGCTGCCTTTCCTACTGTCGCTGATCTCATTACGCACCTTCGCACTAGTGACACTCGCTACCGCGCCGCCCTTCCTGCTGAGTTCTGCGCCAAGAACCCCCCCCCCAATGTACATCGCTCTCGATTACATAGTCACTCGTCTCCCTGACTCCCTTCGCGTAGTCAGGGACCACTTTCTCTCAATCTGTTCCACCACCCTCACTGTCGACCTCCTCGAGAAGGCCCTCCTAGCGGCGGAGAAGAGTATAGTCGCCGTAGGAGCCTCTCGTGGAGACCCGCGCACCCCCATCTTTGAGGGGTGTTCCCCTTCCCCCCTGCTGCCCTCTGTTGCCTCTTCTGCTGCTGCCGACCTGCTTGGTCTTGAGCCGGTTGGCGCGGCGTCTGCCCCTAGCGGGAGACGCCGCCCTGGCAAGGGCAAGGGGAGCAAGGGCGCGGGTGGAGCTGGCGGGGGGGGTGGGGGTGGCGGTGGAGGCGGCGGAGGGAGTGGGGGTGGCGGTGGGAGTGGTGGCGGGAGTGGTGGAGGTGGTGGCGGCAGCGGCGGCGGAGGTGGTGGCGGCAGAGGCGGTGGGAGCGGAGGCGGTAGTAGTGGCGGAGGTGGAGGCGGTGGTGGCGGAGGAGGTGGAGCTGGTCGGGGTAGTGCCCCGCAGAGGAGCGGCTCTGATGGTGGTCCACGTCAGCAGCAACAGCAGCAGCAGCAGGGTTCTCGGGACATCCCCCCGCCTCAGCAACTCCGTGAGTGGTACGCGCAGAGTGAGCGTGGTGGAGGTGCTGGACCGTGCACCTACGTTCTTCGCAGTGGCGACCGCGCGGGTGAGCAGTGTGGGGGTGCCGACGCCAACCGGCGTTGATTTGGCCGCCTGACGGACGCTTGGCGTCAGCAGTTCCCTGACGCCTCTGAGATCCCCCGTTGGGGAGACCTTTCTAGAGCTGGTGTAGCGATCTTTGAGCTAGACTTTGATGCTATTCTTGCTGCCATGTATGCTGTGTCTATTAGTGATGCGGGTGACTGTTACCGGTGTTTCCCGCCCGACCCGGGCATTGGTACTGCCGCGCTAGGTACTTGTGAGGCGTCTGCTCTAGGTGCCAGTGCGTCTGCGCTCTCAGGTACTGGTGAGGCTGCGCTCTCAGGTACTACGTCGGCTTTGGCCTCCCTCACTTTCACTCTTGACTCAGGAGCTTCTCGCTCCTTCTTTCGAGACCGCACCACACTCACGCCGCTTGGTCGGCCGGTTGCAGTCTCCCTGGCTAACCCCTATGGGGGTCCTGTCCTCTCTCACTTTTCCACTGTCCTCTCGTGTCCGGCTGCCCCCTCGGGCACCCTGTCTGGCCTGTACCTCCCCTCATTCTCTACGAACTTGGTGAGTGCTGCAGACCCGCAGGATGCGGGGGTTCACCAGTTCACTCCTGCGAGTCATCGTGTGACCCACTGCACGGACGCACGCACAGGCCGGCACCTGGCCACGTTCTCGCGTCGGCCGGGGTCGAGCCTCTACACCCTGTCCACTGAGTCTCCTCTTGTCCCTGCGTCGGGTCAGGTGTTTGCTGCTGCGTCCCGGTCTGGCCCGGAGTCTGCCCCCTGTTCGTGTCGCCTCCTGTCTCACGAGACTCTCCTGTGGCACCACCGTCTTGGTCACCCCTCCTTGTCTCGTCTTCCGGGCATGGCTTTGCGTGTCCTTGTCTCTGGTCTCCCCCGGTCTCTCCCTCCCCTTCCTTTGGGACCAGGACCTTCCTGTGTCCCCTGTGTCGAGGGGCGCCTCCGGGCTGCTCCTCACTCCTCCCAGTTTCCCCCGACAGAGGCTCCTCTGCAGACACTTCACATGGACGTGTGGGGCCCGGCCCACGTCCGTGGGCAGGGTCACGAGCGCTACTTCCTGCTGGTGGTTGACGACTACTCGCGTTACAACACAGGCTTCCCCTTGCGCAGCAAGGGTGATGTCACTGAGGTGTTGATCGACTGGATCCGCGCAGCTCATCTCCAGCTCAGGAGGAGCTTTGGTTCGGACTTTCTTGTTCTGCGTCTGCACTCTGACCGCGGTGGGGAGTTCTCTTCTGGCCTTCTGCGGGCCTACTGTCTTGCACGAGGGATCCGCTAGACCTTCACGCGTTCGGACTCTCCACAGCAAAATGGGATTGCTGAGCGCCGCATTGGCATGGTCATGGACGTCGCTCGTACGTCCATGATGCATGCGGCTGCCCCCCATTTTCTGTGGCCGTTTGCGGTTCGGTACGTGGCGCATCAGCTCAACCTTCACCCCAGGGTCTCTCGGCCCGCGATGTCCCCAGTCTTGCTGTGGACGGGGAAGGTCGGCGATGCGTCTGCGTTCCGTGTCCGGGGATCTCGGGCGTTTGTCCGCGAATAGTCTGCGGACAAGCTGTCCCCTCGTGCTGCTCCCTGTGTCTTCCTTGGCTTCCCCCTTGACGCTCCAGGGTGGCAGTTCTACCACCCCTCCTCTCGTTGTGTTCTGTCCTCCTAGGACGTCACGTTCGACGAGTCTGTCCCCTTCTACCGCCTCTTCCCCTACCGCACTCCTTCCCTCCCCCCGCCACCGGACTTCCTTGTGCCAGGTCCCCCCCCGGTAGACCCCCTCCCCCCTCAGGTTCTTGCCCCTTCAGGTGTGTCCCAGGTAGACGCCGTCGAGCCGGTCGAGGTTGATGGTGACTCTGGTCCTGCTGCGGGTGCAGAGCCTGGGGGTGCTGACTCTGGGGGTGCTGTGCGCGTGGGTGCTGAGCCTGGGGGTGCCGAGTCTGGGGGTGCTGAGCTTGGGGGTGCCGAGCCTGGGGGTGCTGCGTTTGGAGCTGCTGAGCCTGGGGGTGCTGGGTGTTGGGGTGCTACGTCTGGAGCTGCTGAGCCTGGGGGTGCTACGTC